GCCGTGGCGCTGTAAAAAGCACGACCAATCATCTGAGCCGGCCCGGCTAAAATAACTGGATGGCCTACCTGCCTGTCAGCCTTCTGCACAAACTTATCTCGTGCCCTCATTGGTCATGTGTGCGTTCGTGTGTTGGAGGAGGGGCTCTGTAAAGGAAGTCTGAAGGAAGGGGCAGATTTTTTTCGGCTGCGTACTTTCAAATTCTAGCGCACTCGAGCTGGTTTCTCCATTCTTACCTACCCTACCTTTAACGCCTGCTTATGTAATTAAATCATTCACTATTAGTTATTTCACGCATTTCAACAATGTGGAATCAGGTATGGCAATGCAAGACTGAGGAAACAAAGACATATTAATGGGTAAATAGATACTTGGCTCAACCTGCAGTACATACATTCCTATGTGATGTTGTGTATAACAACACGCACCTCCCATGCAAGCTTCATGTAGCGGTGTGAAGGTAAACATTGGAGGATTAACTGTTGCTCCGTACTCCAACAGCAGCTTGACACATTCAAGGCTGCCGGCTGCACAGGCATCACATAGCGGGGTGCTGCCATCGATGTTCCGAGCATCTACCTATAACACAATGAGCCGTAATGTAGTCAAAGCGAAAGTCAATAATGCTCTGATGAAAGGAGATATCAGCCTCACATATACCATCTCACCTGTGCACCAGCATCCAGCAGAAGTCTAACACATTTGGTGTGTCCCCGTATACATGCTTCATGCAGGGGGGTAATGGAGCTTACTGCCACGATGTTAACGGCTGCCCCCCCCTGGATCAGCTGCTCCAGCTGGAGCGCCCTGCCCTGTGAAGCAGCCTCATGCACGGCTGACCGGTCCGTCCAGAAGCCAAGACCTTGAGCTGCAAATAATGTGAAACCAAAAAAGACTGAACCGTCACACTCAAGTTGTTTTGAAGTATCTGCATGTTGACTCATGATGATTAATAAACGCTTCATTTTTTACTTCCTTACAACAACTATAACACAAGTTAAACCTTACTTATTGAGTGAAGAGGCCCTGTTGCATATAGTTGTATGCAGTATGCATGCATTATGATATTTTCCCCCTATTTTTAAAATGACCTTATGTTTTTAAGCTTAAAAAGCATACGTTATATGCTGACCACAAGATCATTTAGGCATTAACTGATTAACTGACTGATGTTTTGGTCAATTATCGAATTTGAATGCCTTTGTTCATGGTAAAAAAACATATTATTCTAATTATTTACTTCTGTATTCATCATAGAACATACAAATACATCGAAAACGACATGACATAGGTTATTTATCCTGTAATAAAAGTACTTTACCTTAAAGTTTGGAAACTTTGCCTGTTTATGACAATTGACGGCAATTTGCACATAAGGAGGCATAAATACAATCAGTCATGTAACCTACATCATGATAAACAAAAGTATTAGTTATAGAAAAAGTAGGCTATATTTGTTTGTATTACATTGTAAACTGTGTGTTATTGGGCCAAATGACCTGCACATTCAAACTTTCAAACATTCAAAATTCAAGTGCACATGTTGTGTTAAATCTTTAAGTATGTCACATTTGCTGCTACAGAGCAAAGCTAGGTGCATGTAGTGCCTGCTGGCCTCACTAATGAGCTTACAGCCTGCTGTCATTATCTTGAACATCCACTTAGAAAATATGCTAGCTAACGTTGACCTAGCTATAACTCTGACCGACACTTAAGGGAGATTAATTAAATGAAATCTGAAGAAAGCTTGACATAGCAGCAACCAGCTTTATCAGGTCAACCTGTTGTCCTGGGTTACTGCTGGTCACCACCGGTTAGCTACTTACCGATTTCTCCATACAAGGACGGTCTGGTCCGAGTCATCTCCATTTCATGATACCGTTTTCTCCTCCGTTAACTGCGTTTATTTAATCAAACCTGTTATCCATCTTAGAAGTAAATAAAGACTGTAATGACTGCATTACTTTAAAACGCAATGGGGTATCATGCTGCGCATTGAGTGATGGCAGCGGAGGACCAGTCAACATAAACAAAGGCTTGGAACTCTGGGATATGTAGGCGAGGAACCTACCAATCACAGTAGTCACATGTACATTTGTTTCCTACATTCAAGCAGAGGTGGGATGTATTTATTACATTAACTCAAGTACTGCACTTAAAGGTGGGGTAGGTAATTCACTTCAGAAACACTTTTTGTTATATTCCATGGAAAGCTCTTAACATCCCGATAGCAATGAATACATTAAATGATTTGTCAATAAATAAATAAATAAAAATCTTTGAAAGCCGTGGCGCTGTAAAAAGCACGACCAATTATTTTAGCCGGTTCGGCTAAAATAACTGGATGGCCTACCCATAGATATATATACCCGGGCCAGTTAATCCACTAGTTTAATGTTTGTTGAAAGGATTACAATTACCCTATTGCGTCAGCTAAATGCAATGTAATGTAATATAATATCTATGGGCCCACCTGCCTGTCAGCTTTCCATCTCTTGCACAAACTTATCTCATGCCCTCATTGGTCATGCGCGTTCGAGTATGTTGGAGGAGGGGCTCTGTAAGGAAGTCTGAAGTAAGGGGCAGATTTTTTTCGGCTTCGTAGTTTCAAATTCTAGCACTCGTGCTGGTTTCTCCATTCTTATCCACCCTACCTTTAGAGGTGGGGTAGGTAAGTTTCAGAAACCGGCTCGAGATACACTTTTTGTTATATTCCATGGAATGCTCTTAACATCCCGATAGCAATGAATATCTTAAGTGCTTTGACAAAAAATCCATAAAAAAATGTCATCTGTGGAACCCGTAATACTGTAAAAACTACAACCAATCCGTTTTCGTTTTCAATCACTCGAGCCGGTTTCTGAAACTTACCTACCCCACCTTTAAGTACAATTTTGATGTAGGCTACTTGTACTTTGCTTGAGTATTTCCATTTAAAGGGCCCATGTCATGGCCATTTCTACTGATCATAATTCCATTGTTGAGGTATACTAAAATAGATTTATACTGTGCAATTTTCCAAACTCACATTGGTTTCTCATACAGCATCTCTGTATAGTATGTGAGTGTATTCACTGACCCGGCCACTCTGTTCTGATTAGTCAACTGTTCTGATTAGTCAACCACCAGAGAGGCTCCGCCCATGTCTAACACAGTGCTTTTTTCGGCTTTGAGCGGAACATCAACAATGACATGTTATTGGAGCAAATAATTCAGGGAAGAAAGGCTAGTAAGTATTTCCATCAAACTTTATTTTTAGAAATGTACAAAATGAACATGTGTAAACATATATACACTGTATATTCTCCATTCCTCCCCTTATAGGCGTTTTCGGCATCTTGCCTATCGCAGCTTTGTAAGTTGGTGCTGCGGCTTTTTAGGACGAGGCATCAGAGTGGTCATCCCGTCATGTGTTGTCCGCCGGATACGCCAGGAGTTTCCTGATCTGGCTGGACGAAATCAAATGCAAATCAAAACATATTAGAGAAACTTAGTTGTTTTAGGTTCGTTAGCTTGCCAGCTAGATTAATATGCTAACCTACGTTTGCTAGTTGTTCAGTGTAATATGCCAACCTACTATGAACTAGTCTAGTGGTTCATATTAGGCTAGCAAGAACATGTTTATAATTGCAATCTTATACGGGTAGTCTGCTACGTTCGGTCATTCATTGTAGCTGGCATAAAAACAATGTTTTCCCTAGCAAACTCATGTCTAGCTCTTGGTAGCCTTCTTTTTTAGCTCGGAAGAGCTCCTAAACATTAGAGTAACAACTTTAGCGGATTACTTTCCCACTTTTCTCTGTTCTACCGTGGAATTACTGGACATTCTCGTAAAAGGTACCCTCACCTGCATTTGAGCACTCAAACGCCACAGGAGAGGGAAACGGGCCAGGACACTCGTGCGCCTCCGGAAAGGGTGGGGACGACATTTACTTATATTTTTGGGAACTAAATATTGAATTGTAGAGACAGAGGATAACTAGACTCATATAATATTTTATCGGTCAATGTAACTGTAATATCGTGTCCGGAACAGTCTCTACCACATAATGCGACAAAAAAGACGAAGCTTATCAAGAGAGAACAAAAAGTGGTATGGACACAACGAAGAAGACAAAAATCTGCTCCGTAGTCTCACCCAGTAAGGCCGCGGTACACCAACAGGCGGCCTATGGGTCTCACAAGGACTAGACGACTGTTAGTTACGTAGTTTTTATAATTTTTGAATAATAATGAATCGAACGGTATTATTATACGATTGGATGAACGATAACAGTCATTTGGTGGATATTAATTGATCAGATACAAAGTTAATCCGATCGTTTCTTGTACAATATTAACGTTAGAAATGATCGATAGCAGTAAGTAACGATCCGACACCACGTATGGTTAGGGGACACTGTTTGAGATCGAGAAATCGAAGAAAAATCGGTTTCGGGATTTGTAATATCATTGTTGAAATTATGAAGGGTGAAAAGAGACAGATGGCACTAATGACCTGTAGAGCCAATTTCCATGGGAGTGACGTAAATTAGTTTGGGTGTCCTTTTTGCGGTTGGGGGGGGCCTCTGCGTCCTGAAGCGTGGGCGATGGACCTTAATAAAGAGAGGTGCACGCAAGGTATTTCGTTATTTGACCTGCTCGAAGGTCGAATGACCAATCATCTTGTCTCTGAAAAGAAGAGAATAGAAGTGATTTGGGACTAGCTAAGGACTGAAGATGTCGAACTCCGAAAGGTGAGAGTCTCGCCTAGCACTGTGCCTGAGAGACGTTTAGTTTTCCACTCTTATAAAAAATGTGTTTGTAGACCACGTTGCTAACTGTCACTAAGACGTCGGACAAGGGGTGAGATTTGAATAGTAGATGACGTTTGGATAAGGGGGGCTTCAAGAGGAGTAAGTATGACCAGCCACACATGTAGGGTGGCGTACCTCTTGCACGTCCTCCGTGTCGAGCGGCTGGTCTATGACCACATCTCTGAATAGGAGGGTTACTCGTGGCTCATTCAAACCGTGTCTACTATTCTCAAGGTCTCACCCTCTTGTCACGCAGTCTAGCTGACAGTGTCAGGAGTGGTGGTTAACACATTTTTGTTAGGAGGGTGGAAACTAACGGTCTCGAGGCAGTGCTCGGCGCGAACTCGTCGACTTCGACGTTCGACATCGGGTTCAGTCTAGCTAGTGTCGTCGGTCCAGAGTCACTCGTATTTTGTGTTCCTACTTCTTTTCAGAGACAAAGATGTTGGTCATCGAACTAATCGAGCAGGTCAAATCAACGAAATACCTTGCGGCAACCTCTCTTTCATAAGGTCCATCGCCCGCACGCTTC